GGTCAATCCGCGGCCAAGAATTGTAACAACGCACGAAATCCAATAAAAAAAAACAAGAATGCAATGAATATTGTTAAAATATAGATAAATTGAAATATAAGTATTTGTAAAATAAAAAGCCTATGCGATTGTAATATCAGTACAATAATAAGAGGAAAAACATATCAGTCAGGACCAGTTTGTACATTCGGTAAAGACTTTATAATAAATAAATTTTAATTTTAATGCGGTTTTTGTGGTCATTCTGTTCACATTATAAGGGAGGTTTGAAATTATAATATATTAATATTTATTGTAGTTATTAATACGAATAAGTATAAATTTATAAGGCATTTGCCCGGTCTCATGAATGTCATAAATACAAAGCTGGGAGGGACGTCATGGTCAACTTGCACTTTCAATATTTGCTTACAAATTAAAGTTAAATTGACTTAGTTTTAAACGTATTAACGCTTTTTTCTGCGTCTATAATAATACTGGCTGTCGCCCGCGACCTTCTGTGAGAAATTAAATAAAAAAACATAGTTAGTAGTCTGTGTGTTTTTCCAGGCTATGTTCTATATGCATGCTAAATTTCATCGAGATCCGTTTAGCCATTCTGGAGGTACCTTTAAACAAACATCCATCCATCTAAACATTCGCATTTATAATAATAGTAAGTTTTGAATTTCATTTACATAATAGAGTTTTTTTAAGTTTCATAATACCTGTCTCGTATTTTAGACCATAATGTTGGTTATTTGAAGTTGATTTTTGGTTAAAAAAAATTTCCATAGTTACAAGAACCAAAAATAGAAATGAAATAAAATAACTTACGATATGATACGTATCTTAAGAATTTTAAATAAGCGAAATATATTACGTTAATTATTTTTAAACAATGGGCTTTGTGTTGAAGAAAATTAAGTGCATTTTTTTGTTGAACAGAGGTTAACGAATGGCACAAGTATGTGTATAAAAAATCTTTTGTGTGTTTAATTAGTTCCTTAGACGAACGAAGATAATTAGTTGAATGACGGTTTTTTCATATATTATAAAATACCTTATAACATAAATACTTTTTAATGGTGACGATAATAATTTAACTATGTAAGAAATGAAAGAGAAAAATATCATCATCATAAGCTCACTATACGTTTCCACTGAAGGGCTTGGAGCCTACCCTAAGTTTGGGATGTCCAGGCCATACTCAACCAAGCTGGCCAAGTGCAGGTTTGTTGACTTCACACATATCTTTGAAATATCGTATATGTATCATTGCTGCATAGATAACAATATCTATATCTAATAGAAAGAATCCATAAATCCTATATTTTTTCAGTACTTTAAGAAAAAATACACTATCAAACTCTATGTAGTACCTAAGGACTTTTATGTATTAAATAAAAGTAAATTTATTATCCACAAAGTGAAAAAATATTAAAAGTATTTATTTAGATTTAAGATTTAATCCTGAACCCAATACGTTTTTGTTTAATAATTTACGTATATTACTTATGTATTCTGAAATCAGCGCCCGTATGCAATTTTCTTTTTTTCGCACCGCTCGAGCAATAAAATTTAAATGAACTGAATATAAACCCTTCACAATCGGCAGTAAGTAAGCAGGTTAAGACAAAGCGATTTAGGCCTTTGACTTGACTTCGTAATAAGAACGTCTGACACCTTGACGCGTCCTCCAAATCATGACTGACTCATTGAAGATCGAAACATCATTTAAATGGAAAGCCATTGACAAACAAAGATGGTCATTAAAATCGTACATAATTTTAATTTCATTACTTGCTATTGACTGACATGATTGATTTACAATTTTGCAAGTTAATGATAAGAAATATTTTTGTTTTTCATCCAACGTCAAAGTTGCCGATAACAATGACAACGACTCTTGACATAACAATTCTAAATAGTGAACCCTCCCAATATAAAACTGATGCAGATATACCAAAGTTTTTTATACTGAACTCATGTATTACTATTTTTAAATGTTATCATTAATTAAGAAAAATCTTCTAGCATGCTCAAGTACCGCACGGCCAGTGTACTTAAAACTGAGTTTATTCAAATCAAAATTATTGACTTAAGTATGCCTCTTGAAGTCTTGTGATAGTAGTACTAAGAATATCCATTTTATTACTTTGCATAAGAACATAATATTAAAACGGTTTGAACACTATTTTATTTTACGTGTAAAATTACAAATAACAACGATTGTTTCTTATATCATACATCATACAATTTAGTAATGTTTAACCTTTAATTAATTTTTGGTTTTGAGTTAAATGCAAAGGGAGATGTTTTGTGAGCAAATGTTAATTACAAATATGACGAACGAAAAGGTACTTCTGTGTCATAAAAAGGACATTGATGTTTGCATCATGACCAATTACTACGGACACCAAACGAGCTTTTTATACTTTTGTATAAATTAAATTGACATGAATAATACAGCAATAAAAAGCACTGTTTTACAATAGTTTTGACATTGTGGTCACTGTAGTGCAAAAATTGTGCCGTACGTATTTCACCAAAGCAAAGCTAATTAATATTACTTACATTTTATTTTGCCTTAATAACTGTCTTATTTAGTGCCGACTTTATAGGTTATTGTTAATTCTGAAGTCATATTGAAATCTTTATGGAGTAGTTACATACAATTTTATTGTTACTTTTCTCTATCAATCAAATTTCGGTTTGATTTGTTCCATTGTTTCCATATTAAACCAAAGAAAGACAAGCGTGTTTGACTCCAATGCCGTTTCAACTTTCTTAACATTTGTACGCTTTTTTGGCAAAGGTAGATTGCACATAATCAAAAAGCAATAAAAGGCACGTCCCGTTTAATGTTGGACGTATGGTTACTGGAGGTGTCGACTGTCGATGTCGGTGCGGCAGCGGTGACACAAGGCAGGCCGAGACGGTGGCGACGGTGACCCGCCGTCCTTCCGCCGACACGCGCACAACACGCGCGACCGTCCCTCGCCCTCACTTTGATAATATCACAATAACATCCGTCCATTGCACATCAATACATCAACAAACTGTAACACGAATAAATTAAAAATAATCAAGGAATCACATTGCATATGAATTTAGTACGTAGAGCGGCGTATCAATAATATAACTAAAATAATGTAATATTACGTCAGACTTGCAATAACAAAATTGCCTAAAAAGTTACTGCTTCGTCTTTCAGGCGTCTGGAGGTTAAATCAACGTCTCACTACAATTCGTAGACATATTTTATTACGTAGCCGGTCGCTGACGAGGATTCTAGATTAAATTTTAAGTCTTTTTTTATCCAAGTGCAGAATGTTATTACTGCTCAAATTGAAAAGAAACATTGTTCAATGAATACTTAATTTATTTAAATTCAGTTAAGATCAAACGTATAATTTGTAAAACATTTTTAGAACTTGAAGTACCCTAAAATATTTTGATAATGTTTGAAACTTATATGGGCTTACCTTTACTTAATTTTTAGAGTTAATCAAAGTCCTTTGACGTTACGGCAGATATAATGTTAATAACATCAGAGTAAGAAAAAAAATGATAGGAATATGGCTTATTATATTCACTTCATATGTCCAATATCCCGCCAAGACAACAATTTCTTGAAAAAAATGTATTCGGGTCCTGTTAGGTAAGTAAATGAAATTGTGCTAAATATAAAGCTAAATGCCCGGTGTTTAAGTTTTTATACTTACAATCTGTTATAACATTATTACAAAATAAATATTTGTGTAATCATAATCTATTAGAAACTTGGAAGACGAAGTTTTTAAAGTGAAAACAGTGATCGCGTATAGGTCAAAAGGTGAGCGATAAATATCATTTTGACATTTATGTAACCTTTGTTTCGCCCTGGTACCATCCCTAAACTTATTTACCTAATTATTTATTCTTATCTTATTTTTATTATTAACACTAGAATTTACTAGTTAATAGAAAAATCAAAGTTATATACAGATTTAATTAGTAGCCATTAATTATTTCGTTTGAGCACCGACTTCAGGTAATTTAAAGTTTTCCAAAAAATATTTTTTTTTGCTATACAATTGATCCTACAATTAATTGATGATAAGAACTTACTTTTATGTTAATACTTAGTACTTAGTAACAAAGCAATTCCAGTAAGCGAGGTAAAGTCGTCCACAGGACGGCTAAGGTCGGCGAGGGCGCGGGTCGCCGCGGGCGGCGCAAGGGCGCTGCAACGTGCCCTTGCGGCCGAGGCTGGGCCAGACGGAGTATGCACCCTGCACCTCCCCCGAACCCCGCACCGCCGCCACACCGCTATCCCGCCTCTTCGCCCCGCACCCTCACACCAACAGGCCGTGATGCTGCATTTTAATGACATCGAAATGAACTTAGACGATCACAAAAATATTTTTAACAAAGCTTTTAATTGCGGTCGTTTGAAATTGAAACTGTTGTAATGAAAATTGTTTTTAATTGACGATTGCTTTTTTGCCTTGTAAGTAATAACCTAAGTATTGACAGAAGTAATCGGTATATATTTAGCATCGGTATACAGTGCATGTAAACTGAACACGTCCAACAAATTGAAGTCAACGCCTCCTCGAACCTCCGTTTCTCAAATTTAATTCACGATAAGCAGCAACACTTTTGTATGCGCCCGCGCACAATGCCTATTCAGAGTTATTGAGGAGCTGAATCGGCAATCGGCGATCCGTCCGGTCGTTCACCCTTCATTATAAATTCATGACAAGGATATGGTTGAAGCGGGACAATGTGACTTTAGAAATTTATCGCCTTCAGTAGCTATTTTTCGATTGCGAACCCTGATGTACACCTTTGACTGACTTATGGCATTCGTTATATAACTACTGTACGTGATTCAAGACAATATACAAGAGGTCTCCTTTGGCAATCACAAATTTTATTGCAATAATCATATTAATTTTAAAAAGATCTAAAAGTAGCCCGTTGCGTCAGAATAAAAGATTAAAAATTAAAAAACCAAATTCTTTATATTTTTATTAAGTTGGCAATGATTGCAAAATTTAATTGATTTTTTATAAATTTGGTGCACGATTACTTAGTAGTTGGCCATATTTAGTTCTGTTATAATAACTGTTAAGGCTTTAGATCTTTGACAATAGCAAAAATGGCACGAACTACTTTTAACACAGCATTTAGCAGTTTTTCGGTGTTATCTATTAGTTTCATGATCAGCTGCTGGTCTACTTTTAAACTAGAGTTTCCGAGTTTTTCCAAGCTTTTGATTTCCATGTTAGCCATTTCAATCACTTCTTGTTGCCATGCTTCCACACCAGACATTGAAGCATCTAATTGACTTTTATCAAATTTCTCATTTTCTTTTTGCGACGTAACAACTAGCGGTAGAGTTTCTGAAGAAGAAATTTAGGTAGTAAAATAATTTACCATTATAAAAATAACTATAACAGGTTAGCAATTTGAATGTAATTTCCAATTTAATAGCAATTATAATTCAAAAATGTCGCCTAATGATTAAAAACTTCGTCAATTTAAAAGCTAACTAAAAAATCAATAAACATGCGAGCTGAACGAAGTATACAATATTTAAAATGTTTTTTTTTTTAATTTTACTTCTTTTATATAGCAACATAGTCCGGTGTATTGTTATATTTTTATCTTACCTCTCGATGGTTCATTTTTATGATGAGAATTGTTTTCTTCTTCCAAAGTTTTACTTTGAATTAGTGCAATGAATAAAAATAAGGTCAATATTTTTAACATCATACTGTCCTGTTTTGTATTATAATAAATCAGTTACTGCAAGAATAAAATTAAATTTGTGCTATTTATACTTTAGAAAAACGCGAAATGGTATTTGTCTGGAATTAGCAATATCAGTAAATACTTGAATGTTTTTTCGTTTTTTAATATTCATAGAATGAACAAGGAATTTTCATAATTTTTAGATAGTAGTTTATTGTTATTTTATTATTACAAAAATGGCATTAAAATTTTGTTAACTATTTAAAGTTGGTATAATAAAGTCACTAATAACTTTTCAGCTACTTTTTCAGGGTACTTATGACGGTTTATTTCAGTATGCAGTTTTTAATTATAATTTGTATATATCATTCTATTGAAAGCCAGCAACACATCTTGCTGCGGTTGTCCTTAGATGTCTTTGAAATGCTAATAATTATGACAACATCAGATAGGTTATCGATGGCTATGTTCTCCTAAAGGTCACAACACCTTTAGGAGAACATATACAATGTTTACACTTCTTATATGTTTTTAAAAAGTAAGTCTTTTAAAAACCAACTTTCCAAATACAACAGATTTCTTTTTGTACTACACCAGGAAATTTAGGTAAGCAGTGTATTCGCTCCCATTTCATCTTCCTTTCTTTACGTTTACCAATCCCATTTTCTTTCGTAGGATAAAAATTGGAAACTCCTTATCATTATTCCTTCTTGATGAAAACGTTATTCAAACTAAGCGTCCATTTAAACGATACCATTTTCTTGTACGTACCAACGTCTCGTTTAGACCATATAAGATATTTATTTCATCAATTTTATTTAATGCAACAATTAGAAGATTTGCATCGTGGAAATAGGCCTTAATAGTATTTGAAATCGAGTGAGTCGTTTGCTATTGTCCACATATGACTCAAAAATAAAGTAATACTCATAAGTACGCCTTCGAATAACTTTTCACGAAAGTCTGGCATATATATAAATAGATCTTTATCGAAATTGAACATTTAGACCGAAAAGTTCGGTGGCATCCGACTAAACAGAGCTTGTACTTTCCAACTATCTCTTATTGTCCTAGCACAATATTATGTACACACATTCAAATTTGAAGATCAAATCAGGTTTAATATTTAAATATTACAAATAAAACAAAGATGTTGCAATAGGGATTATTTACTTTATTATTTTATTTTCGCTGTATAATTAAAAAACAAATATTTCAACGCAAATTTTACTCATGAATTCTTTGAATGAATTATTTCTTTGATTAAGCGAACTTCTTCAACCATTATTACGGTGAAGTCTTTGAGGGCAGTTATCAACTCCATTACATCTACGACTATTTCTTTGTATTGCACATTCTTTACTTCAGCTACGTGATTGCTTTCGGATTCTGTTAACTTTTCAACATCATGTCCACCAAACCAAGCAAGTCCAATGATGTCAGGAAAATTATCTTGAGAAATATAATAATCATCTCCAATATCTAAGGATTAAATAGAAAATACATAATTTTTTAATTCTTACTAATATTATAAATGTGAATGTTTGGATGGATGGATGGATGTTTGTTTGAAGGTATCTCCAGAACAGCTGAACGGATCTCGCTGAAATTTGGCATACATATAGAACATAGTTTGGAAGAACACATAGGCTACGAATAAAGTTTTATTTTTAATTTCGCGCGGACGGAGTGGCGACAGATGGCTCATATCTAAAGAGAGTTTGATAAAAATCCAATTAATTACAAAAAACTATAGAAAACCGATATTGACTGGTAATTATTTGGTCATAATCATCAAAACTAGCTTAGCAAAAATTAATTAATTAGTTTTTGTAACTATGTTAACTGAAAATGGGTACTATTTAAACTTTTATTGTACCTTTTAGGTCTATGCCTTCTGGAAGTTGACCTAAAACAACTACAATTGATAATAAAATACAAATAATCACTTTATATGTCATTTGTACTAATGTTCGGATGGACACAGATATGAACAAACTAATTACCAACACTACTAATATTAATGGATTTATGTTATTCATTTTACGTTACTTTTATATGCGTAAAACATTGAATCATTTACATATTCAAACAATTTATAAATCATAATTTTTAATAACTTAAACAATCATAAAAGGGCATTTTTATTGCTTTAACATTTCAATTATTTGTTATGTTTATGTAAATACTTTAATACATAGATAAACATTTATAAACATTCCGAACAACATGTATTCGTAAAATACATACTACATATTAAAATGTTTTTTTTTTTTTGCATTGCATTTATTGAAATTCCTAGCTAGTTATAAGAAAATGTGTATGTATATTAAATATATAATAAATAGGTAAATGTGGCCTTACACGTAAAATACAAAATGTCTTGTATATTATTTACTTTTATTTTCCAGATCGTGGTATAATAATTGTAAGTAGTTGATCGTGTAGTCGGCCAAGAAGTTTTGTTTTTTTTTTACCTATTGATCGGCTGTGATAAAAGTTGAGGTATAGTAAAATATCGTGTCAAATGGTAAAAGGAAAGGTAAGATAAAAATCTCCGACGTCTCTTAAATATAAAAAATAGACCTTTATTTCACTTTAAACAAGTCTGTGTAAATATTAACGACGTGAATTTAAAATGTATGATGCCAATTTGACGTCTATACATACGAATAAATTAACCTCGGATCTTGACGACCATGTCTTGTTTGTTAATGCTAGACAAAAATAAACACAGAAATAAATTAACTACTTACAAGTTATAAAAAATAAAGTTCAACGAACTCTGTGCGGCTTGTTTAAACTAAAAAGGTTAGAAATTGAAAAAAAGCAAAGACCCTCGTTAGCAAGCGAGCAAATGGCAATATAATACTAATTAAACATTTACACGACTTAGAAGGAAAAGCGAGGGTACGTAGTGTAGGAGAGAAATGCTTTAAGAGCTTGCAATATGCATACCTGCGATTTGTTATTCCAGCAAGTCGATCCCTCCATTGTGCAAGGTCCATGCCCCGCAAGGGGATGCATATAGATTGCATTTTGTAATCAATTAGGGGAACTTGCACAATAAACAATCCGCTTTTTTATCTCGCTACTGTAATTAAGATAGCCTCGAGGCAAAGTATCTCTATGCTATAATTAGAAAAATGTACTAGTATTTTTCATACAAGGTCTGGTTACTCACTTTATGTATTATTGAATATGTAATTTTAGTATTATATTTTTCTTTTCGAGCTTCTAGGACTTTCGGAACTGTGCCTTACAATGCAACATATTAAATGAATTTCATTCCGACTATTTTATTATTACATTCGAAATTTACAGTTCCAAAGATATATTATACTTATTTACAAAACTCTTATAGAAACAACGAACATATTATTATCTAACTAACGTTTTTAATAAAATTTCACTGATAAAAGTTTTGTAAGACTTAAAAATCATTTCGAAGACCATTAATGTAAAATAATATAAGTAACGCATGGTTTAATGCCAGTACTTCAGCATTACAAATTACTCCTAAGTGCTCCATTTAAATTGTAAAAGATATAAGCTCTTAAGCCTGTAACATAAAAGGATAGAAGCAGATTAAGGTTTCATTAATGTTACATATGATTAAGTTAAAACATGTTGGAATATTCAAAACATGTCTAAAAGTGATCTGACATTGCTTTTGGTTAACAGAATTACTGAGCCCATTTATCGAGGCGCGTCGGCAAGGGGTTGGGAGGGTGAGTGGGGGTTGCTTCGGCGACGGGGCAGTGGGAGGGAGGGGGGTCAGACGGATTTTCAAGGTTAAGGCTAACCTGCGCCGTCTGGCCCACGGCACGCGAAGTCAATATTACACATATTGCATTTCATCGCCCCTAATATATGAAATTTTCAATTTAATATATTTCGTTATTAAACTATTTGTGGCTTATATTTTAGCTGTGTTTATTGAAAAGGTTGATTAAAATAAAGCTCGTATCAGAGTCTATGTAGGCTTGGCTTATTTGGCACAATATGGGTAAACGACGTAAATATTAATTTTAGAACGATAATAATTGATCAACGATATTAAACAACTAAATAAGGCCAACGATAAATATTACTACACCTAATCCATTACTACTACTTACTAGTTAATATCAAGCGAAGTAAACAAACTGTACTGTTCAACATTAAGCAAAGTAAAGTGAGGCGAATGAATTAGTGCAGCGTGAAGGGCATCGAATTCGTCTAGCCATCTGTTACGTGAAATGACGTTCGTAATCTCATAGAGTGGGAGCGGATGAGCATAGTGCAGACGGTCGGCGGCGGTCACTCGAAAATATGCCGCATGACGTTCAAGGTGCGAGGTGCGAAGTGCGAGGTGCGATGCATGCCGCCGGCCACCGCCCGCAGCCCGCAGCCCGCCGCCCGCCAGACTGATCGACGCGCCGTGTGACCTCACACTACAACACCACAATTCATTCATATTTTATCAGGACTAATGTAAGCTATATTTTTTTTAAGTCTGACGAGCAACGTAGTATATTACAATACGAGTAAGGTGTTGAGGTGTGATATTGATACAAATATTTAGTTTTAAAATATTATATTTCTTTATTTGGAAATTGAACAAAAACAGTGAAACGCCACATCACATCATTATCCATACATCACACTAGTATTATAAGTGCGAATGTTTGGATAGATGGATGGATGGATATTTGTTTGAAAGTATGTACAGAACAGCTGTATAGATTTCGCGCGGATGGAGTCGCGAGCGACAATTACTAATATATCAATAGTCTCATCTCATTTCGACTGATCTCATGTCATCTTGTCTCATATTCTGTTCCGTTTCGTTCTGTTCTGTTGCCCTTGCCGTGAACATTTTGGTCACGGCTGTGGCTGCCACCCCGTCGGTCGACGCCCTCTTTTTCGTCACCCCTGAGGTAAATCTCAGGGCCATCTTTGGGGCCGACCCAGCTTCTTTGTTTGTTTCCGCAACTGTCATGCAGGTGCCTCCTATAAGGAGTCGCTCTCCCCTCCTGAGAAGGACATATCCAAGATAGA